TGCAGCTGAGGGCACATCCTGTCAGGACCCCAAGGGCAGGCCAGCACAGGTCCCTGGATACTGACAGTATACATGCATGACTTTTTTCTTTTCTTTTTTTCTTTTTTTTGTAAGCCAAGTAGGATTAAACTTTCTAGCTGGGTGTTGGTGGCGCACGCCTTTAATCCCAGCACTCGGGAAGCAGAGGCAGGTAGATCTGAGTTCTAGACCAGCCTGGTCTACAAGAACTATTTCTAGCACAGCCTCCAAAGCCACAGAGAAACCCTGTCTCGAAAGCACCCCCAAAACAAAACAAAACAAAAAAAAAAACTGAAGAGGGCACCAGATCTCATTACAGATGGCTGTAAGCCACCATGTGGTTGCTGGGAATTGAACTCTGGACCTCTGGAAGAACAGCCAGTGTTCTTAACTACTGAGCCATCTCTCCAGCCCCCATTGTTCCTTTCTTTTTTTCTTTTTTTTTTCTTTTTTTTTCTTTTTGTTTTTCGAGACAGGGTTTCTCTGTGTAGCTTTGGAGCCTCTCCTGGCACTCGCTCTGGAGACCAGGCTGGCCTCGAACTCACAGAGATCCGCCTGCCTCTGCCTCCCGAGTTCTGGGATTAAAGGCGTGCACCACCAATGTCGGCCTCTTTTTTTTTTTTTTTTAAAGATTTTATTATGTGTACAGTGTTCTGTCTGCATGTATCCCTGGAGGCCAGAGGAGGGCACCAGATCACAATACAGATGGTTGTGAGCCATCATGTGGGTGCTGGGAATTGAACTCAGGACCTCTGGAAGAGCAGACAGTGCTCTTAACCTCTGAGCCATTTCTCCAGCCCCCCCCCCCATTGTTCCTTTCTTAGTAAGCTATTTCTATTCCACATCTAACTTAGAAGGCATGATTTTTTCACACCTCTTCCCAGTGGCTGTCAGGGTTCTTTTCTAACCTGTACCATGTTTTCCTTTAAATGCTAATACAATTGTTTTGAGTTCCTTTCTGAATCCTATTAATGAGACTAGGAACACATCCGTTTCCTCGGTAACATGTAAGGTCTCATTCCACTTCTACGAGCCATGTCTTGCAACACGGCTGAGTTCAGAATGGCCCAGTGTCTGGTGCTCAGCCACAAGCCTCCCTGCCCACAGCCTCTCCTTACACACCCACTTGGCTTCTGAAGGCTACCTAGGTTCCCAGACAGAACATTCCTTTCCCTGAAGGAGGCCTGCACAGCCCACACCCCACGAGACCAGTGTATCTTCTGTGTGTAAAGTATCTGTCCCTGCCTGTTTGATAGCAGCTTGGCTCTATAGGCCAGAGCTGAGTCTGCAGTCCTGTCCCTGACACAACAAGGTTGACAGGGACTTGTCCATGCAGGGATGAAGAATATGAACTAAGTTGTCACAGAAACACAAGCTCCCCAGGGTCTTGGCAGCTCACCTGATGGACTGGAGCCCAAAGTTAACAGTGTAAAGGAGGATAGACCAGGAAACATCGGAAGGCTCAGTGCCTACCAGTGCTCATTCACTAAAAACATAGACACAAGTCTGGTGCACCCAGGCACGGTCAGAGGCCTGGAGGCCCTGTGGTTCCTGCGCCTTGGACACACCCTAAAGTCCCTGGACTCTGGGGGAACTTTTTTAGGCGTGAGCCATGCCATGCCTGTACAGTTTCCTCATGCTATATCACATCCTCATACCAGGTTTACATTTTTTATTTTTTTATTTTTTTCCGAGACAGGGTTTCTCTGTGTAACAGCTCTAGCTGTCCTGGAACTCACTCTGGAGACCAGTCTGGCCTCAAACTCACAGAGATCTGCCTGCTCTGCCTTCGGAGTGCAGGGATTAAAGGTGTGCGACACCACCAACTGGCCCATCATTTTAACCCAAGCTAAACAGATCAATAGTTTCCAAGGAATCCATGGACCAGAGCATCTGCCAGGAAGGCCTGATCCCCAAGTGCAGGCTGAGGAAAACCCAGTGACAATCTTCGAGTCTGTAGGTAGCTGGCTGAACCTCTACCTCCTGCTACTACCCAAGGTCCTTTTTGGAACCTGAGAACTTAATTCACTATCAACAAGCAAATGATTGCTAGAGAGAAGGCAACATGTTGCCGCCTTAATAGTGAGTTATGGGTGCTGATTTGGGACTGTCGGGCTGAAGGACTCTCTCCTTGGGCCTTCTCCCCATGACCAGCCAACCCAGTTCTCCACAGAAGCTCATCCTGAAGTAAGCTCCCATTTTAAAGGAAAAGTTGTAGAAAATGCTCCAAGTGTGGAACAGTGGGAATTGCATCATACCTAGTTTGCAGGAAGAGGCACCTTCCAGCTTTCAAGGAATTTGTCATGGGACCTACAGGTTACGAAAGGAAGATGAACACAGCATTGCTTTCCAGTACAGAGGCTAACAAAATGCAAACAACAGGTTCCGTGAAACACATTCAAACTGCTGTCTACTCATCGCTAACACATCCCCATGACCTACCTTACAGACAGTCACCATCACCACACACACACACACACACACACACACACACACACACACAGATGCTGCACCTTAGAAAGTACATGACTGCGTGCATCTCACTTTCCATCCCTTTAAAATGAAAATGGACAGATATGTCATATTCATTGAGAACCTACAATGGTGTCTAGTACAAGATGGCACAGCTCAACCCAGGCCACTGGTGCCAAGCCCCAGTGTGCACAGCTTAGTCACCCTCATTTCCTCCCTTGACCCTGGCTGCAATGCCTGCCTGGTGCACACAGACACAACTCATCAGGCAACCCATTCTTCTGCCTGCAAATGCACCCTTGGTCTGTGCCCAGCACTGGATGCCAATTGCTGAGGTCAGTGGATGCTTGTCCTCTGCTTCCAATCAATGGCAGCCTGTCCACCACGGCTGCTGAAACTCGGTGAACACAGCCTCCGGTTTCCTAGGTACGAAGCCTCACTACTGGCCACAACAGGGCTGCAATGTCAGACAATATTCGTCTCAGCTGTCCACAGACTGACGGACCCTCCGGACTTTGTTTTACCACCCCAATGAGTGGGGGGCATGAGTAAAACACAGGTCCCGTTGTTCTCTTCAAAGTGGGACTCTGGCTCTAAGCAGTTGCAGCTGTTTGCAGCTCCCATCCTGGAGGAATTACAGCAGGAGGCTGCCTCTGGCAGAGGAGCACAGAATGTTGCCGGCAGGGGGTGGGGTGTCACAGTAGAGGAAGGACCACCCCCACAAGGGCCTTCCAGGGAAGGAAAGCAGAAAGTACTGCTGGCTGTTGGGGTATAACCCTGAAGGGCACGGAGGGACAGCCAGGTCATATTGGCGCGGGTTAGAACTGTTTCAGTAAAACCACTTGCAGATAATAAGGCATGGGACCCAGAGGGAGAAAGCAATTGTGTAAAGCCGTGGATACAAAGACACAAGACATGCCAGAAAAGCTTTTTCCTAAATTTGTTGACTTTGACCAAAGACAGCCAAACGGAGAGGGGAGGGACAGAGCCTCTCCCTGAGCCCCAGAACCTCGCCGGCTTTCCCAAGGCCATGTCTGGCGTCCCCCTGCCTGTTGGGCCCTGGGAGGGGGGCAGTATGTGATCACCCACCCCTCCTCCTATAGGCCCAGGTTACCAACCAGTTCACTGTGAACAAGGCAGAAAGCACCCTAAAGCCCAATATTTGTTCTGATGTCTTGAGAGCGGCTTAAAAATATAAAGCACTGCTGAACGTAGGAGGCTGGATGGGAGGAGGCTGCTGCAGGGGGCAGCTAGGGAAGGACAGATGGTGGCTGAAACTCTAGGGATAAGAGTGGGTGGGGCCTACAGAGTCGCGCCCGGAGGCCTTGGGGGCCCACGCGGGGACACGCAGGACGGCAAGGGACACAGGAGGCAGCGGGGCACACGGGCATGC